TACACAGCTAACGACGTAACCTTCTTGCACATCTCATAAAGACCGCAATTTAGTAAAAGTGGAACACGGTTGACTGTTGGTGGACAGGAGTGACCAGATAGATCTGCGTATATTCTCTTCGTCGATCTGGTTACGCAAATGTAAGCTGATATGCATGCCGAAAGACGTAACTGCGTTCATGAACGTACGGACTTTTCCAAAGACCTCCAGCAATCTCTTTTTCCTTCGTTTTTATCTTTGATACCCACTTCTACACCGATTCCATCAACCTCACTCATTGTTATGGACTTCCTTTTTCATGAGTATGGATTAATTTTTTGGTCAGAAATTGAATTTTACAGCCAAGTTATATTTCATGACCGACTTTCCTTTAACCTCGGCATTACTAAACAACATGTACATTCTTTCTTTCATAAACTTATACGCGGTTGATAAATAGCGTTTATTTTCACCTGACGTTTCGACGGTTTTGTCTTCATAAGAGCCGATGATCCAGGTCGATGGTCCACAGTTCGTGTGCTCAAGGTGGTGGCGTTTACGCTTTCATATCCAGCCGTAAATGGAGCATCTCTCTCGAATGAGACGTACTCATTCGGCGATGCCTTTTTTCTTCCCTTTTTTCTATTATGTCGATGCCCATACCCTCGACAACTGTGGACCATCGACTCGGATATTCGGCTCTGATGAAGACGAAACCGTCGGAACGTTAGCTGGAAATAAACATTATTTATCAGCCTCGTATAAGCTTATCAAAGAAAGAATACATATTGATTAGCGAAGTAATAGTTTAGATAGATTAGCCTTCCGCTAGTAAATGCCACGTACTATGCATAAGTACGGGCTCGAATTCTTCAAATTATGCTTAAGGAGTGGTATGCCTGCTGAATTTTGGTATATAGTAGTAGCTGCCCTTCTACAGGTGGAGATGTGTCGCAGTGTACTGAAGAAGCTAATGAGCAATATGCCGCACAAACGAACGCATCGCTACACCGACAGCTCGGTGATGAGCCTTTCCTTGGCACCAGAGAGAATCCATCTTCATCTTAACGACAGCTGTAGAACAAAACAAGAAACGACTTCACAAGCAAGCCATCCACCGGAAACTGAAGAGAGAACAGGGATAACCCAGCAAAATCAGAGCTGTGTAACGTTGCCAAGACTTTTACTGTAAAAAAAAGCATTATTACCATATCCGCAGTTCATGACGCAATCTTCTCCCAACTCATCAAACCGCAGATTGTTGAAAACGAGATTGTTTGATGCAGAGAGGAATTATGAGTTGTATGTAAAGGATGTTAACTATATGTGCTACATTTATAAATTGTATGTATAAATTGTAGATATGGGGTAGATAGCGAAGTGGTAGCGTTGCCGTTCATCACAAACATTGTTTTGGCTCGATTCCGTTACGGATTCATCAAGCTTCGTATCCCTACGGAGTCGAGAAACTGATATGGTACTCATCTGGTCACATCCGACTCCCTCCAATCAGCGTGAGAATGGCTTAGCTCGGCAATCCCCGAGACTGCAGAGAGAATTCAGTCGCCCAGGATTCAATGACATTCATAAAGAAAACGGAGACACTCAGGCAACAGCCGCACCTAAACGGGAAAAGCTTGAAGAGGCTCATGAGTGGTGGATGAATGGACGAATCGAATGCAAGAAGTGCTGGAATCCGCACAGTAGATGTGATAACCAGTCAGGTAAAATATAAACGATAAAAAGGATAAAGCTCTCGGCGTTGATCAATACCTGAGAAATGCGCCATGCATTCGACTTCATTAAGTATCGTTGAAGGTGATTGAATGCATATCTGGCATTCCGAATGATTCGCGGTGGACTACCGATGTATCGAGCCAGTGCTACTATTCTCCCAGATAAGTCTGGTACCACTCTACCAACCACGGAGAGGTGGAGGGCTTGGTGAGACTGAGGTGCAGGGATCGACCCCATTTGTATTGCAGGGCGCCTCCGACAACTGCGCTACACGCACCCACGTAAAATATCGAGAACAAAATAGGTTCTAAATTGTAAGATTACGAAATAGATATGAAATAAAAGAGACAGTAACGCTTGATACCTGTTTCGAAAGACATACCGTATTAAAACACACTAATGGATACTTATGAGGGTCGAGTCACTCAGAAGAAATATTCTTAATGATTTCGCTGCTCAAGTAGAGGCATTCCTCTGCACATTCACCTACCGCAGCCATATACTTCCTTCAACATCGAAAACGTCTGGCGTGATTTGTCTTGAAATCCCAGAACCCCTATTTCGTGGGGTTCCCAGGTCTTCACTAAAGACAGTTGCCTCCCAATATATTGTCTTTAATTAACAAGGTAACATAAGGATGTTAGCAAAGATTTATTCCTCTGACGTTTCCACAAGGGCGCGTGTGGCGCAGTGATCGAAGGCGCCCTGCAATATGCACGGGATCGATCCCTGTGCCTCTGGATCACCAAGCCTTCCATTCCTCCGGAGTCGGTAAATTAGTACCAAACTTGTCCGGGAGGATAGCAGCACTGGGTCGATATATCGGTAGACCACCACGAGTCATTGTAAAGGCCAGTTAAGCATTCATTCAATCACCTCCAACGATGCTTAATGAAGTCGAATCCATGGCGCGTTTCTCAGATGAAGTCGAATGCATGGCGCATTGATCAGCGCCGAGAGCTTTATCCTTTTTATCGTTATCAACATTTCCACGCTTTCGTTTTCTTCAGAGCCGATGGTCCCCTAATCGCCTAGCATTTACAATAACAGTTTGCGGCTTTGTAACTAATATTTTTATAGAGGGTAGCTTTCTTTATGGATTGTTAAAAGCCATTTCTAAATATCCGAATGTATTAATGCGACCACGATGGGGTCAGCCTTGGGTTAGGCAGGGGTTAGGCGGGGGTTAGGCGATGGTGGCCAAAGTACAATGTGCATAGTATGCGCCCATTCATCGTTGGATACGCGAATGTACAGATCAGTTTCCAAATTTTCCGTCATTTTCGTAGCACTTGATAGTTTTGCAGTCCGGTTTTCTTTATCGATTGTCCTTTCTTTCTGGATTTATTCCGGAGAAATAAGGAATTCCATGCATTGTATACCATTCCTAAAGGGAGTCATGACGTTTTTCCGTCATCAACGTTGGCTAATTCACACAGCTTGAAAGGTTTCAAACAGAAGTGTCGACTGAAAAATGAAAAAAGCTCTTGGCCCTTAAGTCATGTATCATCTATTAAATATATAAGGTGTAAATAGGAATTTTCACGTAACCACTTGCAAGTCGGAGCCACGTAGTGGGTTCTGGTCGTTCCGCGAAAACGAACAGCACCAGGAACTGTGCCATATCCCACTGTTTCTTAACCTTGTACCACAGAATTATGCTGAAACCTAACTAGAAATGCAGCACTTCTTTTAAATGTAGCTGTTCTACGGGTAGAGGACCGGATTCACTGCTATGCTTTGCAGTACGACTTTCGGGAACACCGGGTAGTCTCCAGGGTGCTCTTGGGTGCTGATGATCTTCACTCCTACAAGAATTTGAGTAAATGTGGGAAAGTGGGATGTTTCCAAAGAAAGTTGTGTTACCCATTCCATCACTTACAGCTTAAAAACGGCGTAAAGCTCCATTCCATCCTTATATTGTTGTCCAAATGGTCACTTTCTAAGGCATGTGCTAAACGCTTCATCTATTTTGCCATTGATATAAAATAGCGATAATATAGCCATAATTATCCGTTATCAATCTAACATCTATATCTTTTTATCTAACGCATTCCTTTAGATGATTCGACATTGTGCAAGCAGCTTATATTCAATGCGTGGTTCAATCTTCTCTTCAGTTCCTGTCAGGTAAGTTCTTTACGTTCATCTAAATATGTTAGTTGTTCTATATTACTCACTTGGATGTTTGGTTGGTCCATCTTCACTGGTTGTGCGGACCTTAGGATAATATCCGTTGTTTCGCAGTTTTGCTGGTTTAGCCATTGCTGATCCCTGGAGTCCCGAGGTCGGCCTGGCCAAAGTCTGCCCAGGTCGCCACCGCGACAAGTAATCGCAGCTCTTGTGGATCGTAGGGAGATTTGCTACTACACGACTAGTTTGATACCAGGACGGTGGTGGATCCTGCTATTGGTTTACTCTTAGCTAGGGTTCCTGATGGAAACGCCGGACTTCTCAGCTTGGGAGACCCTGACAGGGGATGAATCTCCCCGCTGTACATTGCAGTCCTACACCCAGGAACACCTCCCAGTCACGATAAGGCAGTAAACCGTTACGAGGAATTGTTTTATATTATCATAGGAAACCAATAGAACTGGGTTGTGCGAGATTTCCAGGATCAAAATATGTCTTTGAGACGTTTTCTCATGATTTCAGTCCCCAATAGAATGTGTCAGTACTAGGAATGTGAAGACCAGTAGTGATCTTGCTCTGCTCTTACTCCAAGGAATTGTCGTTAATTTATGGCATACTTGAAAGAGGAACCATCAACATTAGTTTGTGCTATTGTCTTTAAGGGATTTCTCTGAAAACATTACTGTGAACCGCTTGTTTTGATGCACTCATGTTCGTTTTCCGTCCTACTTTCATTTCATTGCCCTACATGTTTAGAGTCAAAGGCACTAATAAGCTTAGGAGACCTTTGCGGAAATGTTTTCTTATATTATTTAACTTACATAAGGTTGTTACAAAGACTTTATTGCGGCTAGCATTTCGGTGACTTCACCTTCTTCGGAGCCGCAATGATTCAAGTCAATCGTCAACAGCCATCCATTTTTCTGATGTGGGTCTTCGTGGCCACATCGAAGCGAGTCCAGGAGAGCATTTCTCTAATGGAGTAACCTTACTCAACAATGGCCTTCTATCCAGGACAGTTGTTGACTGATTATCGAACGATGATGATTCCTTTTCATGAAGACAATTCATCCAGCAGCAGCCGTAGCAGCCTCTTGTAAGCTCAATAATCTAGGAAAATATTGATTATTCATTGATTTCATTCATATTTATTCATGCCAAGGTCAAGTGAAACTATGTTCTCGATAACTTTCTAGTACTACTTCCTGTCATGGCACTATGCAGAAGCAATAGTGTGGCAGAACGCTTTCAATAATTGTGCCAAACTTTTCAACAACTTCTAGGACACTTGCATCCAATCAAGAACTTTTTGAAAAAGCCCAGGCAAATTTGAAGAAGCTTGTTGAAGAGCAGGATGTTGACGTCAAACTGCAGATATATGCACTTTTTAAGCAGGTGCTGCTTTTAGTCAGTTTCATTTTGTGCTCCCTTTAGAGCCTTTTGACATATGATGTCACTTCTAGGCAACCATTGGGGATGTTCAGGGAAGTCGACCAGGAATGATGGATTTTGCAGGTAGAGCAAAATATGACGCATGGGCTAAGGTTAAAGGAATCTCGAAGGTAGATTCGATTGAATGTGTTGTTTGAGCAGTTTTGTTTATTCTCTATGGAGTGTTTTTGTTTATTAGGACGAAGCACAATTGAAATATGCAAGCCTAGTTGATTCCTTGCTAGGTGAGCAGCAACCTGTGGCGACATCAGCCAGTGAAACTCCGATAGGTTTGAAGGCCGTTAATGGACTAGATGTGCGGTATTTCGCTTCACTTCTCCTTGCTTTTCTTTTTTAACGGAATGCGAATCAAATAAATGTCTGCCCAATGTGTGATAAAGCACTAATAAGTGATAAAAGGAATAAAACGATAAAGCTGTTGGCGTTGATCAATCCCTTAGGGATGAGCCATGCCTTCGACGTCATTAAGCATCGTCAGAGGTGATTGAATGCATATCTGACCTTTACTCGCGTTGATCTACCGATGTACTGAGCCAGTGTATCTTCCCAGACATGCTATCCTGCCAGACAAGTTTGGTACCAATTTGCCGACCCCGGAATGATGGAAGACTTGATGAACCTTGGGCGCGGGAACCGATCTCATGTGTATTGCAGGACGCCCTCAACCGCTGTGCTACATATAGAGATATTTCTTGTTTAGTATATTAAATAGTGCGACCGCTCAGAGTAGCCATTTAAACGGCAGAAGAATGCTTAAACAAACTTCACAACCGAAAAAAGTCCCGGTTCGTTTATTTGTACGATAGTTTTTCTTAACATCTCAGAGGATTTCGGGCATGTCTAACCTTTATTTACTGTCTATGATTATTTTTTGTTTTTCACAACAAGGTACGACGTGAAATAGAGTCACAATGATGCAGAGGAATTTGTAAAACTCGGAACCCCAGTTGAGCTTCGAACTCGCCATTACTTTCCGGGACTTACCTATTGCCCACTGTACCACCGACTTCCCTTCTTTTCCTTTTCCTCAGGCACTTCTTCTTACCCTAACGGTGCTATCAGCAATAAACGATCATCGAGAATCATCTGTGAAGAACAAATTAGCATTGAATCAAGTTTAGCTGGAGCTGCAGTCCAAATCACAATTTCTAAATTCCTCTTACTGCCTATCGTTATTTTTTTTATGACAGGTCATTACATGAACTACAGACGTAGTTCAAATATAAGATAGTTTCTTTCCAGGTATCGGTGGAAGGAAAAGCCTTTAAAATTCGTCTTAATCGTCCGAAGAAGTTCAATGCTCTTACTCTGGACATGTACATTGGTATTATAGAAGCCTTGGAAGCTTCAAACAAAGACAAGTCAACCGCTGTTACGGTCATAACAGGTATTTTTTTCAGTTATAAGCAGTGGAGTTTAAGTGTTAGTAAATATTTGTCCTAGGTACTGGAGATTATTTCTGCTCTGGGAATGACCTCAGTAACTTTGCGAAAGCCGCATCGGCCAGTAAAGAAGAGATTAAAGAAATGGCTGAAACGGCAGCTAATATACTAAGACGGTATATCCAGGTAATTCTAATAAACCTAGTTTAAATTGCTGAATATGTTAAATATATAGTTTGTCCATAGAACTCTATATAAATTTCGAATTGGCGTGATTGGTTGATTCCATTGAACTTTAGTAAATGAATGTTATAGGCTTATATTGACCATGAGAAACCTCTTCTCTGCTTGATTAATGGTCCAGCGGTTGGAATCGCTGTCACCGTCCTTCCTCTTTTTGAATATGTTCTCGCGACGGATAAGGTATGATCAGGGGTTCGCAAAAAGAATGTAGTCACTTTTTTTACTTACTCCATATTCTTTTTAGTAGCTGGTATGGTGTGAAATGTTGTATATCAACGTAATATTAAAGACAAAGATATTTGCAAAACTCCGGACTGCTGGTGTCTTCGGTGTGGGACGAACGCATTGTTACCTCTTCCGGGGGCTAATGCGTTCACCAACACACCATGCGGGTCCTTCATTTCGCCTTTCTCTCAGGGACCGAAACGGAGGACCCGCTTGGTGAGGCGGTGAGCCCTTTAGCCCTCTGAGAGGATAATAGCGCGTTTGTTCCCCACCGTAGACACCAGCGTTCCGGAGTTTTGCATATATCTCAGCATCATTATGGTTATGTTCAACATAATACCCTGCTGTTAAAAAAGAATAGGCAGCAGATGAAAAGTACTACATTGTGATTATAGACAGATTATACACCTTTTTGTGTAACTTCCGTCAATCTAGTGTACATTCCACACTCCATTCTCAACTTTGGGCCAGTCTCCTGAAGGAGTTTCGTCCTATACGTTCCCAATCCTTATGGGTCAGCTGAAAGCGGCAGAGGTGTGTATTTTGAAGTAAACAAGTATGCTTCTTTAAAACTTTTGTACTCTTCAGATTTTACATTAACATTATGAAAAGTTGCTGTTTACTTAGTTCTTGATTCTCAACAAAAGACTTTCGGCGCAAGAAGCATTCGACAGAGGACTTGTAAATGAGGTTAATTGGAATTTGCGAAGATTTCTTCTTTAAACTAGAGAGATTCTTGCGCGGGTGCAATTGCAATCCATCACTTTTAAGGTTATACCCCACCATGAGTTCGAAACAAGAGCTGCTACTGTCGTGAAGCAACATTCATCTCTTCCACCAGAGAGCCTTCGTGTTAACAAAATGCTTCTGCGATCGTTTCACAAAGAAATGCTTACAAAAGTGAACGAAGTTGGTTCTGTTTTTAACTCTGCTTATCCACCTTTCTTTCTTTTTCCTTTCTTCTTTCTTCCTTTGCTTCGATTTCTAGGCAGAATTCCTGTGTTGAAAGAAATGTCTTGTTTATAGGCTGAGTGCAAAACTATCTGTGAACGTTGGCAGTCGAAGGAATGCGCGTCTGCTATCGCGCACTTTCTTAGTCGCTCGAAGCTGTAGCCACCTTTGATCAATTATTTCATCTGGTAAATAAAATATGTATTGATAGTCGGAACTCTATGGAATTAAAAAATCAGAATTGTCCTTATGTTCTTGATATCATCTGCTTTTCTTGGGCACTCGTTCAGCTTCCATTGACTAGAGCGATATCGTCTAGAATTGTTTCTGTTTATTCTTTTTCCGTGGCTTTTCTCGGTCCCAGACTGAAGAACGGAGTCGTAAATTATCTTAGGAATTCTCTCTTTTTCAATTCAGTTTTGACCCTAAGTAATTTCCAGTATTAACACTTCGATTTCATTAGACAGCGTTAGGACGTTCCAGAGTATTCGCACCAATCTAACTGGTCTTTGGGGACAAAGTGTCCTTCATGAACACCTATCTATCTATTTTATATGTGACTTTACAAGTGTAAGCAAGAATTATTTAGTTCTGTGCTACACTATGCGTTTAACATTATATCATCGTCATAGTGGAAATGACAAAGTACATACTGAAGCATTGTCGATGTCATGCTTGACCTTCCAGCTTATTCGTACTGTTCGGATTGGAAGAATTTTTCTAAAAAATGTAGCCACCTATTGTTTTCGTGGGCATGCCAGTGGTGTAATGCCTTCAAGGTATTTCAATACCTTTCACGACTAGGAGAAATTCTGTAGTTTTCATGAATAAGGGGTACGTTGTACGCTTTGTTCTTTACTGGTGAAATAGTTTGACGAATTTCAAGGAGAAAGCTGCATTTGTGTTTACTTATTGATTTTTAGCGTGTATTTTTTACCCTATCGACTTCTCCTTCTCTTGTTATCATTTACTGCTGCTCTGAATTGCCTTCCAAGCTTGGTCGTTCCGTAGTCGCAACTAATTCATGTGCTTTGTGTTCGTTATAATGAACTCCGATAAAGGTACAAAGTTGAAGACAACGTTTAGTTCCTTTCAAGGTTTCTCAGAATTCGAAGGACGTGTTTTATTCTGTATCAGGAAGATTTTGCAGCTTCCATTCCTTTCGTAAGCACAATTCCGGTACAGGATTATGTGGCTATTTCTTTATTGTGCGACGGGGATTACCACCCACATGGATGTGCACGTGACATGGCGTAAAAATTCATTCATCACTGCTAAAATGAGAATAATCAAATGTACTTTGCAAAGTATCTGGTCTTCTCTGATGCATTGCAAGTTTTGAACTCAAAACAAGTTGAGTAGAGACGAAGACGCCGATATCTTCGGTGCAGTTGAGCAGGCTTAAAACTGGTAGACGTCAGAAACACGATGTCCTTAATTCGCTATCTGTGATAGAAACATCCAAGTTCCACAAAGCATTTATGACGGAGTACTGTTTTCCAGCAACTGCTAAAGCATGCAAGGCTATGCGGAATTTCCACTTCCTTATTATTTTTTTTCTCGCAGAGAAAGCAGATCAGAATGGAGATGTCTTATAGAGATGTTCACTGTAACCTTGTGGTGCACCCGTGTAGTCGTTTCTGATGTAGGACAAAGTTGTCTTTGAACGAGATAACATTTCACAAACACTATCTTGATGATATCTTTATTTTCTTGGGAAACTTCACTAGGATGGAAACTTTATGTTATACTTAGACCTGATACTTGGTACTTGAACGGCCCGTCCTCACAGGTTGTGCGGGCTCCATCATAATATCCACTTTTCGGAGATTTTCTGCTTGAGCTATTGTCGTTTCCTAGAATCGCGATGTCAGCCTGGCCAAAACCTGCCCCAGGTCTTCACCACCACAGGCAGTCGCAGTCCTTGTGGATCAGAGGGAGATTTGCCACCATGAGATTTCGATACCAGGACGATGGTGGGTCCTGGTATTGGTTCACTCTTAGCTAGGCTTCCTGGTGGAAACGCCGGACTCTTTTCTCAGCTTGGGAGACCCTGTCAGGGGGGTGAATCCCCCCGCTGTACATCGCAGCCCGACACCCAGGAACACTTCCCAGCCACGATGAGGCGGTAAACCGTTGGGAGGTATACTTAGACAGTGTATATTACATTGTAGTTCGGGGTCACAGAGGGAGAGAGAGCTACAATGGCGCACCGAATTGTTCTATTTGAATATTTACTTATGGTATGTAGTTATTTGATTAGTTTTTACTCCAGTGGTTTAACTGTGGGCAAGGAAGAAGTGGATAAGGGCTTATCAAAGAAAGAACGCATATTAATTAGTCATATCGAGGTCAAAGGAAAGTGGGTTTTGAGCAGGCAGTCAACAACCTTAAAAATGATCACAAAGCATTCATAACACACCTTTTTAAAAATTGGTCAGCGTACTCAATGTCGCCCTTGTATCTTCAGAACGAATTCTCAAAATTATCTATGAGTGCCTTTCGAACTCTTTTGACGATCGGGTTGCTTTTCATGCCATGGGCTGGAGCTTCATTAAGCTCATTCAGAATATTCTTTAATTACCATGACCGACTTTCTGTTAACCTCGGCATTAATTGATAATTCAATGTTTTTCATCAATAAGCAGACACGAGGTTGTTAATATAGAATTTATTAGAACACAATTGCTGACGTTTCGGCGGTTTCGCCTTCTTCAGAGCCTGGAAAGGTCAAATTGAGATGCGATCTACTCAGCCAAACACTTTCATAACCCTAGCAGATAAAACTTGATAAATCGATTTGTGTTCGCATAAGAAACAGCTTCATTCAACCGCAAGGAGGAGTGTCTTGTCATCACGCGTGACCTAGCGCCATACCTCAGGCTGATCCAATGATCTGACATGGATCCAGTTATCGACCATGTATTACTCTGTGCGGCGGCTATCCACCAACTAACTTAAATACTTACGACAAATAAACGGTAGGTGTTTGAATGAAGCTGTTTCTTATGCGAACACAAATCGATTTATCAAGTTTTATCTGCTAGGGTTATGAAAGTGTTTGGCTGAGTAGATCGCATCTCAATTTGACCTTTCCAGGCTCTGAAGAAGGCGAAACCGCCGAAACGTCAGCAATTGTGTTCTAATAAATTCTATATTAACAACCTCGTGTCTGCTTATTGATGAAAAACATTGAATTCTTTAATTAAGTGGTTCTTTTCTGCATCTTTTCCACTGTTCCGTTAGAGTTGGTTCGCATGCTGAGAAAGAGAAAAACGAGGAGCATCGCAAATTTGGAGTAATCATTGGAATTCATCTGATCATAATTTCTACTCTTTTTACTTCGAAGCAGCTGGAAATGCAGAGGTACTGATACCGTCCAGTACGATCAAGGCGCTGGTTCGATACTTCTTCGGATTTGATTGGCCTTCCATTATCCTGGGGTCGGAAAATTAGTATCAGATTCTTCTGGGTTCAGCTAAGCCTTTCCAGTTCACGAAAAAATATGACAGCTGATTGTGGAGCACATTTTGGAACAACCTGCCATGGCAATACCATGTTGCGAGGAAAGATCGACTCGACAAGCATTCAGCTATATTCGAGAGGAAGACTAGAACTTCTCATGCAGCGGTCGAACCCATAAACCCCAGGGCTTTCATCGATGACAGATGTGAGGCAACGAATTGAATGAAAGAAGTGCTGAGATTTAAGATGTGATGTCTAGTCGTGCAAAGTAAGTAATAAAAAATTTTATTTTATTATTTATCGTTCTTTTTTCTCCTATTTTTCAACGCTTCGCTCTCCGTCTCGGACGCTGAAATTCTCACGGTGGAAAAATGATCCCGGATTCCTCCTTTGAGGTTCTACTTGCTATATAAATCACGAAGATAAGCACAGCTCTGGGATCAGATAATATCACCGCTTCCTTCGAGCTGGAAGTCATAAGCCACATGTATTCGTCGTAACCTACATGACATCATGCCTCCAGAAGGAGAAGATCCTTGATTGATGGAGGATGTTGCGCACGGTCATCCTGCCCAAAAAGAGTGACCGAAGAGATCTTCGTAACTATCTTCCATTGTACTTGTTGAAACCACTATACAAGCTGGTCGCAGGAAAGGGAACTAACTAGGAATGGTTCCACTTAGGAGAAAATCATATCATATGGCATGCACATCTGGATTAAATAGAACCTATCATTAATCTATGCGCTCATTCCTATTTCATAGTGTTGGTTTCGGTTTTATCATTTTTGGGGACGTATTCCAGAACATTCGTGACCACACCAAATTCTCGGTAACTATGACCGACGCGTAATAGAGCATAAAAACCTAGGCGCTAGGCCTTGATCAATCCAATGGAGGTGCTCCATGCATCCGACTCCATTGAGCATTGTAGACTAATTGAACACGTATTTGCCCTACACACCGCATCCTACCAATTTTTATCCACTGAGACAACGCTGGTGTCAGTTTTCAGACTTTGCAGAGAAGGAAGACTTGATTGTTCGGTGAGCGGCATAGAAGCACGTGTGTGTTCAAGCCCATTTTTAACCAACGCGCGATCCGCGTCCTTATGATGACCAAATTTTCAGCACATGCTTTGTGAGTAATGCACGACTCAAAGGAGCCGAAGTCTAAGTGGGCATGTGGCAATAGCTTTGTGTTATTCTCTTGGTGCAGTACGTAAAAGTCGCCATGGGACTCACGGAGACAAATGAACTTGCTCCAATAACACTTTTTGCGAATTGTACTGTCAGGATAACTCTCCACACTAAGCCATGATTTACTAGTTGATAACTTGAAGAATGGGTACTCTTTTTGCGACTTTTCTATCGATTCTAGTTGTCTAGCACTAATGCATCTAATTATGCAGCGAGTGAGCGACAGACACTCGCACTCACATCACTGATACGATTCACCTCGATTTCTCCCGTTCGAAAGTCGCTCTCGAATCATCAGTTCGCTCTGATGCTCGACACGACAAGGAAACCGGAAGATTCGCTCTTGAAGTAGGTGTTTTACTATGTTTTCACCCTTGTTCCGTACATATGAAGCAGATTTCTTCGGTTAAATACATACATGTCTGTATACATATACATGTGTATATATATATACAAGTAGGGTTACGCCATACATTCGACTTCACTAAGCATAGTTGGA